TGTGTGTGTGTGTGTGTGTGTGTGTGTCCTAGCTGGACAGAGAAACAGAGAAGCTCTGTCATCAGTGGGATAAGAAGGGGACAGGGGAACTGTGTTGGCCAGGGAACAAATAGAGTTGTTAGTACGAGCCAAGCTGAGGCATGTCAGCCAGATGATTACGTCGCTGGGATCAAAAATAGTTGGTTGTGAATCATTGACGACTGGCTCTGTTGCTACAGTCACTGGGACAGGATATCTGATTTTGTTTTTTTGCACCTTGAAAATGTCAGTTGTGAATTAATCCCTTTCGTCTAAGAATCTTTCAGATTGATTGCTTGCAACAGCTAAACAAGAATGTTTAGTAGAGATAACTAAAATCCATTGTCTTGAACTGTTTACACATGGAGCTAGTTCATTTAAACTTTGCACTCAATCAACTGTGGAGGAAGTCCTCTGTTCCTGAAACCTTAAATATATGAGCTGCAGAGGCTGTTTGTTTTCCAGCTTCCTCAGTGACTGTGAGATGGAGAATGGGAGAGGCTGCGAGCCAGCAGCACACACCTTCCATGTTTGTCCCTATTTCTGGCACGTAGAGAGAAAGATCAGCCAAACAGTAGTGGAATGAAATGAAAGATGTGTTTATAGTGAGAGAAAGGAACTGCTGCTGACAACCTAAACATACACATCTATTTTGGGGGAGTTAAAACTACTCTTGATAGATTAGATATCCATTGAGAATGTACTGTAATATTACAGTTAGAATAAATATAGTACATTTTAGAACTCTGGACACAACCCTTGTCAAACTGCTTTGCATTGACCATAAAAATGAGATTGTTGCTTCAATTGAGATCACAGGAGGAAAGTAGGTAGGCAAGATAGGCAAACATGCTCTTCACCTGAGAAATGATGTAATTGGGAGCTGGTAGCTCGTACAGTATATTCCCATCACCTCAGTGCTGCTCATGGCATGATGTCACACCTCTGTGTGATTCATCAAACACATTCACCCCCTCCCTCCCTCCTGTCTGTCCAACCTGTCCTCTGTCTGCTATTCCCCACTGGGTATAACACAATCAAAGAGTCACAAACACACACACATGCACATGCACACACACGAATGACAATACCTTGCAGACGTGAATGACAGGTCTAATTCTGGAAGGAGCTGAAGTTAGCTGCAGTGTGCACCGTGGGGACATGTCGTTTTCACACCCATCACTATACCAACGATCAGGGAGCATGTGACTCTCTCTTGAGGGGAAGCAGGAGAAGAAGATTCTCTTGCTTGCGGCAGATGAAAGAGAGAAGATAAAAGGGTGTAATGGAAGCAGTTCTCCAGTTTTTAGCCAAAATATACATCAAATTAAGCTCCCCCTTTCAAATGGATGCTGAAAGTCATGCTACCATTAGTAGTACAGCCTCAGCACAGTCTTATCTAACCTCTGAATCATGTCTCTTGAATGTGCACAGGCCCAGATCCAACCGCCACCATGTCGAGCAAGCGTGCCAAGGGAAAGACCACCAAGAAGCGCCCCCAGAGGGCCACCTCCAACGTGTTCGCCATGTTCGACCAGTCTCAGATCCAGGAGTTCAAAGAGGCGTTCAACATGATCGACCAGAACAGAGACGGTTTCATTGACAAGGAGGATCTGCACGACATGCTGGCCTCTCTGGGTAAACAGCTTTGTGCTCAGGATGAGTTATTATGGCTACAAGAGTAAACCTGAGGTTCAAAAGCAGAAAAGCACAGCTGGTTTTTAAAGGGGCAGCTAGCCTGCATTACAATCACGATTCATCCTCACCTGTCAATCATGACATTTCACGCCGTTTTTATATAATGAAATAAATGATTAAAACCAAATTGACTGGAACATTAAGACTTGAACAAACACCAGTGTTATACGAACTAGCTAAATGACTAAACCATCCATAAGGTTAACCTATTTCTCATGTACTTAGATTTTTTTCTACTAACATGAAGGAGGTGGGGTTGATGATCTATACTGCATTTAGCCAGCAGGTGGCAATTGAGATGCTTTGGCTTCACTCTTGGGAGCAGTCATATCCTCCATCTATATGGTGGGGAGTCTGCAAAAGATGCTATGTATTGTGGGAAATGTAGGATCTTCTACTTCAAATTTGATTTTGATGTTTACCAACTTTGCAGAAGAAGGAAGAATGCACAGTGACATAGAGAATATTGCATAGTCCCAACAAAACGTAGGTTGCTGTAACCGTGTTGTTTGTCCTCAGGTAAGAACCCCTCTGATGAATACCTGGAGGGGATGATGAGTGAAGCACCAGGACCAATCAACTTCACCATGTTCCTTACCATGTTTGGAGAGAGGCTCAATGGAACCGACCCAGAGGACGTCATCCGCAACGCCTTCGCCTGCTTCGATGAGGAGGGATCTGGTGAGAATATAACCAAAATTATTATATGCACAGATGGCACTGTCAATGTTTATTCAACTTCAGTAAAGTTATTTGCCTCCATTAGGTGTGATCCATGAGGACCATCTGAGAGAGCTGCTGACCACCATGGGTGACCGCTTCACAGACGAAGAGGTGGACGAGCTGTTCCGTGAGGCCCCCATCGACAAGAAGGGCAACTTCAACTATGCAGAGTTCACCCGCATCCTGAAACACGGCGCCAAAGACAAGGATGACGAGTAGAAGGGAGGAAACAACTGCCTCAGGCCCCCGCACGCATAATACACCACAAGTCAATCCCCAGCTTCTACCTTTGTGCACCTTGTAGGTTTTAGATAAATTGAATAGGAAACCATGTAGAAATATAAATGTTAGAAGTTAAACGTGATGCCTTTTATTACATCTACACGTTTCTGAAAGGTAGGAACTTGGGATTCAAATATTTTGCAATACACCACTTTTCATTTTTTAATCGTCATTGAAGGTTTTTATCCCTGAAGGACAGGTGTATCACAGCATATGCGTCTCGACTGCAGCTTCATCCACATTGACTGACAGCTGCTCTGACCTGTTGGAGGGAACGTGGTCGGACAGTCAGTGGGTGCGGGGGCTGCTTGGACTGCCGGATTCAGTGCTACATGCAGTACCAGCCATGTTTACCTCTTCCTGCCAATTAGCTACCACACCTGCACTGCAACAAAATCTCCTTCTCTGTTACAAGTGTGTCCCAGTATGTTGGAAATGGATAAAATGATTATTATATTTGTGTTTATAATTTTTTTGACAATCAAAAGTGGCGAGTATGTCCACTTGATGAAATGGTTACTCAAGCTTTTAGTGTAAACTTATAATTCTCTCCCATCAGCTGGTTGTGTGTATTTGTTGAAGGATCAGGTATGTCTGTGCTGTTTGAAGGAAATTAAGTCTTGATATTGCTCAGGCTAATAAAGTAAGTTTGTTCATACCATTGACCGCATAAAGTGAACATGAGTGTTTTTGAGTCATTGTCATTCAAGTCATTTTATTAAATTCACTGGCTTAAAACACCATTAGTGCATTTCTAATTTGTAGCCCTTTGTAATTCAAAGCCAGATATACCAGAGCATAAAAGCACCCACCTGGATAAATTATCAAAAGTTTTTCTTCTCAGTTATATCACCTCACAATGATGGCTTAATAAACACCAACTAAATATTAATTCCTGCAAGATTATTTTCATATCTTGGTGACAATAACTGAATCGTAGGAAGACCCTCAATAAGGTCTGTGTCCAACAAAATATGATACATTTTATATGGCTTTGTTTACATTTCAAGTGAGATCACTTGATAATTTAAAAAACTTGGCTTCAATTTACTTCAAAGCAGTGGTTTCAAATCTGAGGCATTTCTCTCTGGGTTTCTGCAGGTTTCCACAATTTAAGACTTTTTAAGATAATAAAGAATGCAATTTAACATCTATATGATATGAAAGAATAATAGAGCCCCAGAATGATTTAAACTTCCCAATAATCCCCATAAAATAAATAGTTAAATATCATGGTAGAGAATAATCCTCGAAACATCATTTTACATTCAGTCATGAGAAGTATGATTATTCTAACAAATTACTATCTTACCAATGCAACAATAGACTGACAAGATACAGCAATTATGAAAAACTGAACTTTTATTCTTTGAAATGCTTATACAAAACACACATTTAAACTTTAAGGCATATATTGCACGACTATCTTTTTATATATATAAAAAAAATGGGGACATGGGGATTATCCCTCAGTCGTATTAAGGCACAGCAGCCAGTCGGTCCGACCGTCAGTCATGACTAACAACATGAACTTGAAAAAACATTTTGGAATGCATCTGGCTGAAAAGACACTACACAGTTTGAGATAAAGATCATGCCAATACATACAAAAAAAAAATATTTACATGCATCAATACATTGTCGGCTCTGATTGGAGCATTGGTTTGCGCCTAAAACCCAAAATAAACAATAACTGTATAAAACTGGCCTCCCTAACTTTTAGCCAGCCTTTTCCATTCCAGTATCACAACTGATCAGGTGTCGTCACAGTGGCATGATTTAGAATGAATAACAAAAATATTACTGTAATACTTATTATCATGACTATGCTCCAACAACATATAACTCATAAGACCCAAACCTGACATGACCTGTGTAAATTGAGGTATAAATGCACATCAGTCTGGTACCTGTAACAACAAAGAAAAAACCCTCCACTGACATGTACAGATGATAACTGGCAGTGAGAAGACCAAGTACAAAACAAAAGTTTCCACATCTGCCATGAACAAGAAGATGGAGAGATTTGCTGGGGTCAGTCCTCAGCAGTATAACGACCTCACATTAGATGTTGGGTCCGTGCACATGCTAAATGTAACCGTTTGAACCAAACAAAGGCTCAGAGACTCTGGTAAACATGGTATTTCTGCTACAGTATTATTCCCATGGGAACCTGATTATTCCACACGATGCTATCGCTAATAGACCTACAGCCGGAATTCAGTCATATGCTGTGGTTTATGCTAAGACAGTTTCATAGAAACTACAGCTTCAGGAATGATTAGAACAACAGAACCCATTTCTAAACAGGTGGAGAAAAAAAGGAATGACTGAAAAATACTACACATGTATGCTGCTGAACCTTCCTGGAAATAAGAAGTAAATCACATCAGCTACTTTAGTACGTCTGCTACATTTGCTATAGCGCTATTAAGACATCCGAGGTTTGAGTGGCGACAGTGGAATATGTATAATTTGTCTTTCCTTCTAAATGAGAGGATCCAACGTTAAAAGATAAAAAGGTGCCACAGCTCACAGCGAGTGTGCCATTTCATTTCAGGAGCCGTGACAGCTCGATTCCATTGGATCACCAGAGCTGCTCACCTCTCTGCAGAAATTGATTTGTGTAACAGATCCAATGTGACCTTCTCCCCTATGTCCTATACTCACAGCCCCCCCCCCCTCCCAACAACAACAATCCTTGCAAGCTGAGCAAGGTCACACATGCAAGTGACAGATATGCTTTAAACAAATAGAGAAAATACTACTGTGTTTGGCTGAATAAACGTTTAGAACTGACACGACACAGACAGACGTGATGCTTGTTGAGTGGTTCAAATGACAAATCATGAGCGTCGATGAATCCCCTCAGCTATCTAAACAAAAACAGGAAGATGGAGACATGGACACAGACACATTAAGGTGAGTCAGTCAAAATTGCTGCAGTCCAATCAATTTCTGTTCTGCTCATCGGGAAATGTAGTGGATTAAGAACAGACTAAATCTGAATTGCACAGCTACTGAGGAAAATAAAGTTGTTGCTGTATCGTCGTCCTTTGTATCCTGGCTGGGGAATGGGTGAAAGGCAGCTCAGCCATCGATGTCAGTGCCTTTTGTACATTCATCAAAGTCAAGTACTGTTACTGAAGAGGCCAACTGTGCTGGTGCTGATAATTACACCGATTTAAATTTTGTACAATTACGGGATATTTTGCTCCTTGTTCATGAATAGGAACTTGGAAAGTTGTTTTGAAAATGGCATCAAAAACTTTGCACAATACATTAACTCTGCACTGGAGAGAAATGGCGCCGCAACAGCGTCCATCAAGAACAGCATATTAAAACAATAAAAGCTGCTTGAAACAGCACGTCTCTAAAAAAAACCTCATGTTCGACACTTCACTTCATTGCTGTGTGTCCTGCAGGCACAGGTTCAAATGTCAAAAAAGGACTGGTGATGAAGAAGATACATTCTCATATATACAGTGTTGTCCAGCGTCCTCTGCAGAAATACAAAAAGGTTCCTGTCCAGTCCCAGCGCTAGTTAACAGTTTCACTCACTGTGTGCAGACTGTGCTGGGGGCCCCACGCTGCAGTGATAGGGGTCTTTACCACCTGAAGAGAAGTGGGTTGCCTGGTGTCAGTGTGGACCATGCTCCACACACTGGGTGCCACTGCTGAATTCCTTTGGGTATTACTACTAATGCCGATAGTGGAAGAGGGCTGAAGAGGAGGAGAGAGCTGCGAGATGAGGCCTGCGAGAGGTTTGATCGTTGGAGAGGTGGAGGACGTTGGGGCTGAGGCTGGGACATGAACTGAAGCCTGGGCAGAGGCAGAGACTGTGGGGGGAGAAGGGGCGCGAGACGATGCTGAGGTTGAGATGGTTGATAGACTCGGAACTGTGACGGGGATTAGAGGGGATTTGTGGAATGGCAGGTAAAGTGGGACTCCTCTGGGGGATGTGAGAGAGGTAATGGCTGCGGCAGGAGCAGTAGGAACAAGCGCTACAGTTGGATGTGAAGCCACGACAGAGGTGGAACTTGTTGGGAAGAGGACTGGTGATGGCACAGAGACTGGGCTTGTAGCCGGCACTGCCGCGCTAATAGAAGTGGGCAGTGGAGCTGGAGCTAAGCTTGAGGTTGGAGCTGATGACGGAGCAGCCGCTGCTTTCTGAGAATCCAGCTGTCCAAAAACAGAAGCCGACAGTGGGACTAAGGTTGGCAGATGGGCCGGGATGAGCTGAGGCTGGTTTGGGCTGGAGGCTTTAGCTGTGTCCTTGTCCAAGGGGCTCCAGATGACTTTATTCATGGGGAGAGGAGACAGCCTTGGGGCTGAGACCAAGACAGAAGCTGGAACTAGTACAGGAGCTGCTGGGGATTGAGCCACTGGAGTCTTGCCTGAAGTTACAGCAGACACAGGAACTGCCATCGCCTTTTCCATGAGACTCTGAGCTATGGAGGCTTCCATGACCTGTTGGCTGTCTTCTGGAGGCGGCGTGGGGCCCATGTCGCTGCTATAGGCACTGCACTGTGCTTCCACTGGTTCAGTCTTTACAGCCTCTGAAGGTTTGCTCTGGCTCTCCTGGAGCCTCTTCAGGTTCTCTTGCTCCGCTGCCCTCTGTAGAGCTGCGTCCACTAGGAGCCTCAAGTCGCTGAAGTCCTGAGTGGGGAACAGCTCAGGGGGTGTCGGGGGAGGCGTGTTGAAGAGGCCACTGGTGGGGCTAGCTGCCATTGTTGTGCTGGTGAGACAAGCAGGATTAACCCCTTGCTCCTCTGCTTCCCTCAGCAAACTTTGTGTGTCCAGCCTCAAGAGCGCCTGCACTGATCCTTCTTTACCCGGGTAGCCTGCTCCTGTCAGGATGGCTGTCGCCGTGCTCCCGAGAAGACTGAGGTCCAGCATGGGGGCGGAGCGGATGACAGACGGGCGCTGTTGAGATGAACTCGGGGAAGAGTTTCTCTCGGGGGAGCTGGCGCCACCTCCGTTAGATGAGTGGCCTTCGCTTTTACCACCAACCTTTCTGGAGATGGTGAACTTGGTTGGGTCTTTCCCATCCTTGCGAAGCAGATCAGGGAGGAGGCGGCGACGTGCGTTGATGAACCAGTTGCATATCTGTGGAAAGAGGTAAAATGTTTGGCATGAGCAGATCTGATTCTGAGAACTGACATTTTTACTTGAAGGCTTCCATTTTTACTGTGTTGTATTTACTATTTTTATGTTTCATGACGAGACAGCTGCAGTCTGCTCTCAATTAGCCAGATAAAAACAAACCATTCCGAATCTAAAAATGATCTGAGCCCTGTGATTTCAACAACCACCTACAATTTCTTTTTCATCTCCATTCGTGAGATGAGGCCTTACTTAACACTCTCTAGTGGTACAAGCCTCCCAAACAGTGAAGAAAGAGAAGGATGACAGACGTCAGAAAGCTGGCAGTAATGAGGGCCTGAGCTCAAATATGCTGAGCCACAGAGACGGCAGCCAAAGGCATTCCAGTGAACAGACTACAAAACAAGAAAGTGTCCTGCTGCCTCATTCTGGTTTGTAATGGGCTAATTCACTTTATCTAATGCGGTGATTGTGTGGGCCTGCATGGAAAGAGGAAATGTTTACTAGTGATGCAATGAAGTGAAAGGGAAGCACGGAAGAGTCCTCCAGTTTAGTGTGGCAATAACATGTGATTACTGTTTTGCTGTTTCACTTGAGAGAGCATTAATATTCAATTTTAAGAATTTCTATAATTCATCATAAATGAAAACATATGAGCAAGTTAACCCTATAGATACATTTCACCATGCTGTGTTACTTCCTGAGTGCTGCTGGAAAACACAATAAATAAATACAAGAATGAATGAAAACCCGCTCCTCACCTGCAGCACCGAGAGGTTGGTCTGGCCTGACAGGCTGAGTTTCTCCTGCTCCGACGGGTAGGCGTTGAAGCGGTGCTCATACAGCCAGCTCCGCAGAATCTGCACCGCCTCCTTGGGTAGGTTGCCACGGCGACGGCGCTTCCCGAGGAGCCCCCTTCCTGACAGGTCGAGCGGGGAGCCGTCATCACTGTCTGACATGGCTGAGGAGTGCTCCTGCTCCGGGCGCTGCTCTTCCTCCAGAGCTGAGGGAGAGGAGGCCGGTCGTTAGTCATGTTCACTGCTAAAACTCTAACTGTTCTCATTTATCAAAACATTTCAGACCACTTCTACAGTTGACTATATTAAATATGCTTGTTATATGAGAGGCATCATTTTCATATATTAAGAGGTGTATAGATGTAAGAATATACATAATTATATGGTTGAATAGCTATATGCTCAGCTGGACCTTTTCAGAATAAAGGGGTACCGCCTTGTTTCCTCACAGTGGTAGAAGCCATGTGAGTTCAGGCTGGTCAGAAATATAAACAGGTTGTTTGAACTGCTCTGGCTCTCAGCTCACAAATGTCGGTTAGTTTTTAACCTCCAGGTCCACCCCAGTTTAGAGTGAGGTACAGCAGGGCTTCATGTACAAACCGAACATGTTCCAACAACAGCTCTGAGGTTTGAACTTTGTTGTGCGTCTCCTTTTCTATCCACGTTTGGCCACTGGAGGGAATCTCCCCCTCAAAATGGAGCATGCCTGATCCCAGGGGTGGGCCACAGAATGCAGTAAATGTCTTTCTCTGGAGCTGGGTGAAACCTGACCCCCCGGGGCAGCGCCTGTCTCCACAAAGGAGATTGTGTGCATATCAACATCACAGTAGCCAGTGGCCCAGGAATCTATTGACCATGCAGGAGGAGGCCGTTTTCACCTCATGCCAGCTCTGACGACCAGACTGCTGGAGCGGTTGACAAAATCTTTTCAATGCTGCATTCCTCTACAACGAGCCATGTACGAGACTGAGTTAGAAAAGTGAGTCTGTGTGGTGGGGGGGCTCAAAACATACAAATGCTAATTTTAATTGAATGGATTCCCCCCCAACTTCTGTAAATTAGCAAAGTTCTCCCAGTGCCTACATTTACTGTGTTAGCGCTGGGCAAGTTTGTCAGATGGATATTAGTGGGATCTCATTATGACATTTATACCACAAATTATTTGACTTAACTTCCCAATGAATGACTTGAAAACAAACTATAATACATCAGAAAAGAGACTTTTTTTCCCCTCTTCTAAAATTAACCCTGAGTGACATTTAACTTGGTGCATCACACTTCACTGATTTCGTCATGTGATTTAGCAATTTATATATCATACAAAGCTTTCATATTAATGATAAATACACTGATTTCAGTAGCAGTACAAAGATTTTTTGAAAGTTTAAGCTAACTTGGGTGTTTATCATCATATTATGTTAAATGTCATACCCTCCTATGCACTTTATCACTTTCTATTGCCCTTTTAGTTTAGTAACAGTTTAAAGTATCGTGTGATTCATTTTATTTCCAGGCACTGGTTCTGCATTTACTCTAAATGCACTTTATAGTTTTCTTTTCACTTTCTGTATGTGTTTAGACTTAATCCTTAATGGTTTTATTCTATTGTAATCTATTGTACAGTGTGTAATTGTAAAGTTGGAGCAGAATTGTCATATCTTATATAATACACACTGCACAAACAAAGTGAGCCGTTTGTTGGACGCAGTTGGAGTTTGACAGTCTCTGTGTAGGCCACGCCAGAGCTGCACAGCCTCACCTCCACTGGATTTATATCTGGCGCAATAAAACATCTGCACCCCTCCAACGTGGGGTTGAAAGTGGATGTGACTGATCTGATAAAAGCAGCAGAGGCAGATTGCAGACAGATGTCACCTCGCAACAGCTCAGAGTCGCTTCACGGAGGCTGAACTGTCAAACTGGACAACTTGTTTACCAAAACACCTCGTCTATAAACCTGAGCCACGCTTTCCAGCGGGAGAAAGAGAAGAGCACATGTTCCTCCAGAGTCTGAAAACTCTGCCCCAGCTGCAGATTTTGAATGTGACCGTTAACAACAACACTCTCCACGCATCAGACACCAAACTTTTTACAGAGGGGTGATGCCGTCACGCAAGAAAAACACGAGGGGCCGCTTCGACAAATAAAAACCAAATGTTACGTTCGAACACGCACCAAACCGGAGAGGAGCTAAATTGGCCATCTGGAGCGCACAAAGGAGCCAGACAGGCACCGCACAGCCTCCCGCATGTCGCTCAGCCTCTCTCCGCCAGATGGACACCATGCCTCCTCTCCTCCTCCTCCTCGGATAACTAGCAGGCTAGCTCTCCTCTCCCTCCACATTCAAACACACAAAGCCCCGAACACCACGCACAGCCAACAGCGACGCCGCGGCGGACGGACACGTATTGTTGTCGCGGGCAGTGAAACGTGTGTGCGTGATTCGAAAACACGACGTGTGTGTTTGTGTGTGTGTGCTCACCTCGTTTGAATGCTTTCATTCTTTGTTGTGCGCTGGAAACACGCAGCTGTCCAAGTTGCTCCGTACAAAACGTGCCCGAGACGATGGTTGACGCAGCGGCACTTTCAGACGCACGCGGTGTTGCGCTTTTTCTTTTTGTTTGTTTGGTTTGCTCTTCCCGCACTAACACGTTCGTCGTTCTCCCGCAACACAGCCAGGCTTCAGGTCCCCGCACACTCCGCGTCCATCGCACGACATGAGTGTTTTCTGTTCCTTCGTGTTTTACCTGCAGCAGCAGCAGCAGCAGCTCTTTGCCAATCTTGACAGTCGCAGCTGAAGTGGTCCCGCCTCCTCCATAGCCGTCGGCCAATCCCTGCCCTCCATTCCTCCTCCCTGGGCCGCTGTCAGCCAATCGCATCGCTCCGCCACACAGGGCAGACAGGAGCCTCGTCTCATTGTGACTGACGGCGAGAAGCGTTTCATTCAAAATATAGTGCGGCCATTGAGACTAATGTTGTTGTGTGAACGCCTCACATTGGACCTTTTAACTCGTTGCATCGCGTTGGTGTGGTTGACTCGGTGTGATCGGGCTCACGGGTTGTTCCTGTGAGCGCCACATTGTGTGATCAGGCTTTTACGTAACAAAATGTTCTAGTTACGTAAATCATACACGTCGAGCGGTCGTCACATCTGACTCGTTCCTGAGAGAATCCACCACATGTTTAGTTATTAAAGTGATTTCTGTTGTGAGGCGGCACATGTGCACACTGCAGGTGATACAACATGTGGGCAGAGACAACTGAAAACAAAGGTGGGAAGGTTGGGAATCCTCAAAAGTGTGATTTAAAGGCAAAATACGGTTAAAACGTAGAACAAATGTATTCTGTATATTCTGTTGCTAAATCTTTCTTCTATTTCGATGAAAAATTTAAAAATGAAGCCACTATAATATAAAACTGTAATATACAATTAAAATGTAGAATTAGTGTAGTCTATAAAGTAGTGTGTGTCTAAATATTGCTTATATTTAGTCACATAGACATAATACTCCTAATATTTCTGTTATTATGTGTGGGATGCTGTGGATAGTCAAAGTGAAAGATTCCCTCAAACCAAATGAGAATGAGTCATGATTTAAGAATAAAGCCACTTGAGGATAGGATGATATGAAACTGTAGTATGCAGTTAAAATGTAGAGCAAGTATTGTGTAATCTAAATAGAACTGTATAAGTATTGACACATAGACACAGTACTCCTTCTTATATTTCTTAGGTTCCTTTGCGAAAATAAAAAGAAATGCTATATACGGAAAATATTGAAAGTCTCCAGGAGTTTCTCTCAAACCTGATGAGAGTTAGTCATGATTTTAAAACGAAGCCACTGGAGGATATCAAAGTATTATGTGTCATGTGTATTATGTGTACACATAATCCTTACTTACACACAATACACTTTCTTCTATTATTCGTTAGGAAATGAGTCATGATTTAAAAATCGGAATGTGAAACTTGCATGTGTGTACATTTTTCTTATATTTATACCGATAACACATGTACACATAATATTCTTTCATCTGATATTTCTTAAAATAAAATGAATGAGTGCTAGTTGTGATGTTAGAATGAAGCTGGATATCATAATATAAAACTGGGATGCATCATTAAAATGTAGCACTAAAGTATTGGGTCTAAATACAAGTGTGTGTGACTGAAGCACAGACTTGCAGTTAAAATTAAATATATCAACTGTGTGAATGTAAATTTAAGTTGAACAAATGTTGTGTTACCTATTAAAGTGTAATCACAATCAGTATGAAGTATAATCTTTAAAAAAGAAAAAACACATTCACGATAACTGATAGTGTGCAAACAGCTTCCACAGGACAGAAAGCAAATAACTTTTTTTTGAGAAAGTGCTGTGTTCATTTTATTGAATGTTGCGTCTCTCCGTTACACATTTGAATAAACCTCGAAACAGTATAAATAGATCTAGAGCATTGTAAAAGAGGAGGATTTTCAGTCTGGGTTTGTTCTTATTTACAAAGGAAAACTTTAAGAAGCAAAGAGAGGGGAAGAAAATGCAAGATTATCAGTTTCATCTTAATATCAAAGAACCCTTTTTTACTCAGTATTGCACATATATTTTTAAATGTTACCAGAGTATAGCGACGTGAATCTAGAAAGTCTCATTTTATGAAAGACACACACACACAAAACTTATTCTCAAACATAATAACCCTTCTATTCTAAGCCCCCACAAACCCTGATATACACACAGCTTATATAATAATATACTGAACAGATCTTATTGTTTAAAATATGTGCTTGCTCCATAAAATATTTGATCTAGACACTTTTTTTGCTACATCATATGATAAATTCTGCCCCTCACCCTTTCCCCAGGTTTATGCCTCCGCAAACCAAAGCAGAGATGCTAATGACCCATTCGTGTTTTTGCAGGCAGGCCTCTGGACGACTGTGTGTGGGAGTGAATTCACTGCTCAACCAGCTGAGGTAAACTCTCTTCTCTGGGTTTGTTTTTGTCTGTCACTCGCAGTGGAGCAACTTCTTGTCTGTCTTGGAATGTAGAAAAAGTGGCAAAGAAAAAAAACAATCAATACGGAATATGTGATGATGCCAAAACTATTTGTGGAGGGAAAAGTAAAGGTATACAAGTGTGACGTTTTCCTCCTCTTGTTTAACAGACTATTGCTTTTTCTTCACATTTTAGGGACAATAACATAACCAGAAAACTACTTTTTACTGCGGCTAAAGAAAACGCCTTAGAGAATACAGCTGAACACAAGTTTTAAATTGAAAACAAGGCTTCACCAAAACAAACTGCTGCTTCAGCAAATGCTATTGTAATGGCTGACTTTAAAAAGCCAAATCCATCAACTCTATAAGGGGACCATTATCACCCCTCAAATCAATGGCTTTACAGTGAACACCCCCTCCTCTCTCCTGATAGTGCAGCTGTTTGGATCATGTATAACCCAACCCAGGAAATAGACCGAGGTGTGTCCCGATGATGTGTGTGTGTGTATTGGAGGGAGAAGTCTTGTTAAAATGATTGAGATGAGCTTGCTTTCATCTCCTTAAGAATGCCACTGACATCTCTTGGCATTTTGCACATCCCCAAGTTTCAGCGGACTGGAAGAAATAAACAGAAGCAGCGCTTTTCAGAGTGTGACATTCAGGTCATAGAACAACTTTTTCTGTGTCTTCCTGCCCCCCCACTCGGCGTATTTCAGATGCCACAGTGCGTTTGATCTGCGTTCAGGCACAGACCTACAGATGAGTTTTTTGTCGTGTGTGTGCGAGAAGGGTTGACAGCAGAGTCATGGCCTGAAAAACAATCAGCAGTCAATGAAGCAGACATAAAACAGTGACATGATCCATGCAATGCTTTCAACATACTCTTAAAATGTGGGGGGTGGAGATAGTGAGGAAATTTCAATTGACAATAAGCTAACCTGTTCACACAAACAAGAGACAACTACATTATGCTTATTTTGGGAAAACAACTTGTCAGACACACACATACAGACCCTTTCCTGGCAGTCAGAAATCAAATCAAGCCCCTCGGCTGAGTCACACAAAAGACCTTCAGGTGCTAACGATACCATCCACCGCCGTCAAATGGATGGGGCCATTGACAGCAGCCAGGGAACAGGCTATTGACACCCCTGAGCCATCTTCCCTTGCTGAGAGTCATCCCCTGCAGGCAAACAAAGAGCCACCATCAAGAGAAAGCTCGGGCCTAAGAAAAAGAAAGAATGGCAGTGATCTGGCTTTTCCAATTCAAAGCCCCCAGGCTGCATTTTTTTCAGTCACAGTGGGTGAGGAGGCGGGATTGCAACAGTTGAAGCAGCGGAATGACAGTGCTGTAGTTTAACACAAGTAATCAGGAAGAGGAGGCTTGGTTTACCAATAATTACAACTGGATTTAGAAGAAAGCAAATGTGAGCGGAAGACAGGAAAACAACTGTGGCTGATCTGAGGCATGTTGGGGCTGTCGTTACTTCTAGTGTGAAATACTAAACTTCAAAATGCATGAGGTAATTCTGTAAATATGTGTAAACCAGTGCTGTCAGCAGGATTATGGAAAAGCTACCAAACAGATTTTTACACAACTGACATGAGCCAAGAAAGAACCCACTACATTTTGGGGCAGATCCAGGATTTTCTTTTCACTTTCTTGAACATTGTGAGATAGAGGGCCTTTTTGACAATTTCACCAACTTCCCAGAAAACTTCAATGGCACTCAGTAGAACGCATACCTCCGCCAAGGCCCAACAGCCCCCTTAAATTAAATCAAGCTGCACCAAATATCACACAAGCATAAATATGCCAGATTTTTTTTCTCAAGATCAAAGAATGAATCCTCGGAAAACAGTGAAAATGTCGCAATATCTAATAATATTTGAATTAGTTCTTCCCTGACCCATACCACATCCTTCCATCAAGATTTGTGAAAATCTGCCTACACACCATCCCACCAAAAAAAAAGACAGGAGTGAAAACATAACCTTCTTGGCAGAGACAATACTCAGAAAATCAGGCGTGTTTAGGGAACTGATATACGAGTGTGCAATCTGGTGCAGCTTGATAGAATTTAAGGGGACTGTCATTCTTTGTTATAATTTCCAGTGAATGCTTTTTCATTGTATGGATACATAACAATGGGCTGAAAACTAAGCACTGAAGCCTGAGTGTTTCCATACAGAGGAGGAGGGCTGCAATGTTGATAGAGACCTGCCTCCAGAGAAGAAGACTCAAAATCGGTTCAGTGTTTTAAAACCATATTTCACGTTGCACTTAAACTGTTTTGTTTCTGAACTTTCCAGCTCACTTTGACCCTGAACTCTCCACAATCAATGTTCCTCTACAGTTACAGTTCTGCTCAAGCTCCTGGACACGTGGATATCCAGACGTTGAATCTGTAATACACACTGTGCTGCGGCTACAGTCCTCCACCCCATCTATTTTCACAGTGAGCAGTTACCACTTGGCTCCCTGCAGTTGACATTTAAACACATGAGATGAATTTGAATCAGCGAATTCATCTTTGGCTTGTGCAGTCTTCCAAGGGAAAATAAAAGCAAGCAGCATTCAGTAAAAGATGAAAACACAATGACTAATGTATGTAATGCTTTAATTAAATATTCTTCTTTCAATAAAAAAGTGCAGATACTTTAGATGATGTTCAATGGAGGGAAAAACAATAATGGTAACAAGAAAACTAAGATTTTGTTGAGTGACGGCGGCAAAAAAAATCAAATCCTTCAGTATAAAAAACAGTAGGACACAAGTTCTACCGTGTGTCCCCACAAACAAAAACACACTCATACTCAGCCTGCTGCATTAATTCAATAAAAGCCCTAGATTGACTTGAAATGTTGTGAGTTGAATGCTAAGTGATTTTAATAAAAGCACTTAAAGAAGCCTTGCACAGACACATCTGCGGTTACAGCGCAAACAGGAAGTCAATGGAACAAAGACAAGTAAAAGAAATGTGAGAGGGCGTTTTCTTACAAAAGAAAAATATTCAGTACATGTGGTGACCACTGTCGCCCTGACTCAAACTGAGATCCTCATGCTCGGTCACTGTAACGTCATAATAATGGGATGTGCTTTCATTCAAAACCAGTCTTTAAAAATCTTCTGGCATAAAAACATTTTGAAGAACACACACATATAAGAGCTAATTGCTAGGAACTAGATAACATCCCCCCAAACCTGACTTTCAATTTCATCATCCCAAAAATATTCACAATAACCTGATCTAATTTGATTTTTATACAAAACAAAGGATGAGTAAACAAATAAATACAAGGAAGACGGACATAGGTGGGAGTTTGTCGAGTGTCGTGCAGTGGATGTAGTGTGGGCGGTGTGTGGGACAGCCACAAGGCGGCGTTGTGCAAAGCTACAAGATGGCCAATGATCTGGGAAGAGAAGATGATGACGGACCAAAGTGGAGCACGCCCGCTCGTCTCCTGTCCACATAATAGATCTTATAGCCAAGACAGAGGAAAATTCAAAACAGTCTTCGTATAGATTCTTTAGGATATAATCGTCATAGTAACAATATCTTCATTAACAATTTTATGATATCAAGAGAAGTAACAAGAAATGACAGAGTTCGTGGACTGAGGTTTTTACTGGCAGCCGCACGCAACAAGTCTCCTGCTGAGTGAAGTGACTCATTAGGTGATAGTGTATGATGTCACCAGGACCAGCCTATAAACTTATGAAAGTGTCAAAAATGCCCAAACTGACCCCCACCACCCCATCTCTCCTCCCCCCACCTCCATCCATGTTTACTCTGAGTAGCTCATTTGCATCACAAAAGTCCTCCTCTACTTTTTGCAGGTATTTCAGTCACACTTATCCAACTCTTTGATCCGGCCCCACATCCTTCCTTTTGTCACTGTCTCTTCTCAGAGGCGAGTCTGGGCCTCGGGGACGTAGATTTCGATGCTGTCTGCACTCTCCGTGGCTGAGTTCTGCCGAAATGACGCAGCCTTCTTGGCAGCCAGCAGACGCTTGCGAGCCTCCTGTCTCTGCTTCTCCGCCGAGGCCGAGGAAGAGGTGGACGAGCAGTCTGCGCTCTTCTCACGGCCCAGCGAGGGTCGTCCCTTACCAGGCTTCTTTGACGCCGGAGGGGACACCATGTCCTCGTCCTGTGGGAGTGAGGACAAACGGCGGACAGAGAGAGAGAGTGTAGGGGACAAAAGACAGATATAAGGCAATGAGAGAAGGTAACAAGGAAACTGTCCTCAACAGGTTCTGTTTGTTTGAGCAGGTTTGGCAGACGGGACTCTGACAAAGACATTATGCCAGTGCTCATTGTTTCTGTTAAAGCTTTTGTAAAAAGAGACAAAACAGAGAGCGTAAAGACAAAAAAACAGGCAAACATTGAGAAACAGTTAATTGAATGACAACTCTCAAAGAAAATAGAAACATGAAATGATGGGTACACAAACATGAAAGCAGTAAAAGGATCACAAGACACAGTTAATATGCACCTCAGCTACAGTACTGAAAAAGACAGACAGACAGACAGGCCCTGTTCAGACAGCAAGACAGACAGACAGACAGGCCCTGTTCAGACAGCAAGACAGACAGACAGGCAGACCTGTCCAGACTTGGCATTAACATCCATCCTGACAGATCAGATCACAAGTTCACGGCCATAAATGAATCTATTCCCACCTGACATTAAATGTGTCCTAAATGTTTCTCCTGTGACCAGATATTAGTGGACATTTGCGTGTCCACTTGTGATCAGATCACTCAGGACGGATGTTAACAACAGGTCTGAATGTGTTGTAGACACAGACATGACCAAAATTCAGACACTGCGTGACAAACAGTAACAAACAAAGACAGATAAACACAAGCACAGAAACGTCAACAGAATAGGAGCAGAAGCAAGACGACTGCACTCTGTCCCATGGGCCAGTGCATGTGAGCCATGCGACACACATCAGAGTGACACATGCATGCTCAAAGTGGGGCTTCACACTTAAAAGCCACACCAACGACAGCCCACTTTGAGATGAATATTTCCATGCATGCTTAAAGGGATTTCTCTTGCCCCTTTGCGTTGGACAGGGAAGCCCTGTTAGAGTTCATCCCACGCAGGGACGAGGGCAGGAAGTTGAAGGGAGGCGGGGGGTAAAAAAGAGTGGGAGCAATGGTTGGTGGTGGTGGTGGGAGGAGAGAGGCCGGTTTCGGCGGCTTTCCTACCCCAGCCAGGGCACTGGGCAGCAGGGATGGGAAGTACCTTCCGCTCAGGGGGCGAGTGGGCGGCTGCCGACGGCACAGGCTGCCAGTCATTAGACTTGAGGTGGTAGAGCTCGTCAAACTTGAGGCTGATGTCCTCGATGGAGAGCTGCAGCAGGTCCCAGAAACCAGCCAGGTCTTGGGCTGTGGGTCGTGGATTGGCATTCACATTCTGATGGAGAGAATTAGTTATGATGAGAGAGGACGTAGTGCATGTTGAAGTGTGGATAATATGAAATATATTGAAAGCTGCTCTCACGCATGCACTGAAATCCGGTGCAGATGTTTTCTGTAGTTCATTTCATTAGATTTTCCCTCTTTAGATTCTAAAGACTGAAAAGCATTGGAGCTTGGATACTTTTTCTGAATTTCTTCCGAGATCAAAATATAATGAATTCATTTGACACATGCTGGTATAGGATGCAAACTAAATTCATGTACTTTAAATTGAATAGAAAATACAGATCTACAGTGTTTACTCTGCCCTTTCTCTCCTCTTGGGTGTCTGTAGGTTGTCCCTTTGGTCTGGCATTACAGGCAGCCGTCAGAACCCATTACCCCACTGCAGGTCTGTGTCACTTCTCGTTATGAGGCTACTTCATGTCCTCAGTTTGTCTGTCAGTGAGTGTACTGTCCTTGTGTGGAGAGGACATTCAAAGCTCAGCAAATTGAGCTTTGGTTTCAGACAAATCAGCCGTTAAAAGGCTCTTTGGCCTTGAAATGACAGGAAAAAGATGAATGAGTCTTCTTTCACTGCAAGCTTGGTAGTTGGCAGCAGAGATGGATCAGGTGTGCAATACAAAACAAATCAATATAGTATTCACCCAGCAAATAAAAGCGAATAATCTTTGACTTGTCAATTAAAACTAGGATGATCTTTAAAAATAGAGTCAGGGCAGTAGGTGGGGGATCTGGGTCAGTTGATTTAGGTCCGGGCCACCACCTCAAGTTATGTTTGTGAGCAAGATTATGCAAAAAGAACAGGAGAGAAGACAAAACATGGTGGAAGACTCCAGGTCAGATCAAGGAATTCTCTTCATTTTCTTTAACATTGCAAGATAGGGTGTTTTTCAACATGTTCAGTGATTTCTCAGAGAATCCTGTATGAGTTATGATGAAAAAATAACAGCATATTTAGGGGTCGGAATCAATGAGTGTGTGCAATTTGATCCGAATAAAATTATATTGTGGATTTAAATGTGGTTTCATAGTTTAGTAGGATTTTTTTCAGTTGCTCTATGGTAAGAAATGGGACTAAAAACCTGTCACCACCACCAATGTGTAGCTGAGACATTTGAATTGAAAAGGACTGTTGGGCCGTGGCAGACGTATACGTGCTCTCCTGAGTGACATGACAGTTCTGCTTGTCTTATTAACAACAGCTAAAATAATGATGATAATAATAAATAATAAAACAAATGATGGTTCTGTTGTTGGTTCGTTACTGTTATTGGCTGTTAATTATTAACTATGTTAACTGTGGCCTAATATTACTGTACCATATGCAAACACTGCTCTTTTCATATTCACCACTAGAGGGAGCCATGCTCACATCACAAAAAGGATCACAGGATCACTCGGCTTTTATCCTCTTCAATGACAGATTCTAAAAATGAGTTAAATTCATTTTATATATAGAGACAGATGTAAAGTCAATCCTGCACTGACATCTCCTCTGGCACAGCCACTGTTTGTAACACGAAAGACAAACTAGAACTCCTTGTGCAGCCCCTACTCTGTAGTCAAGTCTTACGTTAATAGACTGCTGAAGATCATTGGACAGGAAGATAATACTGTATTCCTTATTTAATACACAGGAAGATATGCTCACTTTACATCGTGTTCAAATATGAATATAAATCGTTCTCATCATTGCAGTTGAATGACAGGATGTGACACAGTTACATCAACAAATATGAAGCATTGGTTTCTGATTTCTGTAACTAATGAGGCTGAAATCATTTCCACCTCTATACAGAACATTAAGAATGACAGCATTTAGCAGAGGCTGAAAGAAAAGTGTCGATGTGGCCTTGAAATCCTCTTGTGGGTCTCAGCCTGATGGGTCTGAAACATTATCAGTGCAGGTCAGGCTGATTTTTACTTTTATGTCCGTGTACAAAAGTATGATCAATCGTTAAAAAGACTTTATTAAACTGGATTTATATATTTCAGTCAAAGGGAGCAGGAAACAATACGTTTTCACTTCTTCATACTATTTCTAAGACATGATTTTTTCTCGTTTACCTTTTTCTTACTTGCATATATTGATATTTCTATGTTCCAAATAAAAACCTCAACTAAAATAAGTTCAGTGAAGCTAGAAAAAAGTTCAGTGTGGTTCATCTGACCAAGATTTGGCATGTTGAACATCATATCCACTAACCTTTTATTTATGACCTCTGCTGTATTCCTTTGTTTGATATTTTACGTTTGGCAGCAAAATTAGAGAAAAACAACTGGACTGGTTTCCAGAAAACTCAGTGGAAGGACATGGTATGGTTTAGGGAAGAACCCATTATTTGTTGTTACAAATCCAGGATTTCTTTTTCACTTTCTTTAAAACTGTGAGGAGATTTTCACTTTTTCACTGTCACATGGATCTTGATAAATAAATAATAGTAAAAACAGATTTAGGGAACTGATATCTATGAGTGTGTGAAATTTGGTTCAGCTTGATTGAGGACTTTTGGGCCTTGGTGAAGGAATGTGCTCTAGTTTGAGATGTTTTAGTGTTGTGGTGTCATGTGCTGGTATTTGTCTGCAATTTGTATAATGCCATTTTCAGTAAAACACGTCACCTGAGAGGACTGGCTTACTGGCTTATCATAAGCTGCCTGTACTTGGTGCCGGTGGGCCCTTGTGCCTTAACATGCTGTGTATCATTGCGTATTAGTCAGTTTTCATTTGTGTGAAAGCCTCCATGTGTATCAAGGACAGAATATCCTGTAGAATAAAGAATAACCAAAAATAGGAGTTTAACATAATGGGAGTGTGGATGTGAGTTTCTGTTTCTTGCCTGTGCAGACCTGTGGATGTGTCACAGAAATGAAAATACACACCAAGTTTTGCTCACACAGTCCCCGGAACTGCTGGAACTTCTGGGATATTAGGAGCTGGGCGCTTCCCACTGCACTGCGAACCTTTCCCAGCACTGAAGACACAACACAAGGAAATAAACAAAACAAATGATAAATTCATCAGAATTATTAAACGATGACTGTTTATCTCAGAAACATCCTGTTATCTCTGCTATGGATGATGCACAAACCCAGTTAGTTCTGCTTTAAAACAGGAAACAGGACACACCAAGTCCGGAGGCTCTCACTCTGACATTTGCCCCTCGGCCCCTCCGGATAATTTCCGGAGATATTTCAGAGTTCAGTGCATGTCTGAAAGCAATTCAAGATACAAGAGCTTCTGACGATAAGTGCCATCGGCGATGTCCATTTACAGTAAAAATTCCCTGCTGATTTTAACGTGATAACCTGCCTCTTGCCTGCTCTACCCTGGCACCCTCACTCACCTGAATGTTCTGGACGTTTTTCTGATCCAGACGATCTGATGTGTTCTTCATAAGTCAGGAAAAGAGTTCATGTCTGAAAACAGCTTACTGTATGTTGTGTGTTGCTGTGTCAAAACTAGGACAAACATCTGCCCTGACAAAATTGGAAGTCCTATCTGATCACTGAACTGCACAGTTATAGTAATGTGATTATAGCGTTGTGAGCGCGGCTCTAGAAAAAACATATGGATGTTGAGCTTTGTTGATCTATCGATCCAGCGCTTCTGATAAAAACTGAGCATCCAAAGCCTTTCGCTGTTTGTTTGTTTGTGTGTACAGTGTGGATGTGTGTGTGTTCACTGCTGTATGCTCTGTCGGGCTGATGTTGAAGCACTAATCTAATCTGGAGGTTTAATCAGTTCCAGAGTAGATTTGTGTAATTCTGGGGATTACAGGCCTGCTTGTGTGCGTTAACCTCAGGTATTACTGGCTCATCCCCTCCATGCTGTGTATGTCTGATGGAGTGATTGTTGGGCCTGAAGCAGAACCTTATGAGGGAGCTGTGAACCATGTGCTGAGGTCAGACAGATTTATCAGACCTCTGGTGGGAGGCTCAAGACGTTGGGTTCATTCCGAGTGCCTCCAAATGTAATGAAAACATGACTGTATATAAAGATGGACGCTGCAGCTCCACTTCCTCCCACTATCCACTATGAAGCTAAAATATCCCGACTATGAACCATTTGCACATTTGAAGGCAGAGTAGTAGCGATCAGGGGCAGGAGCTGCAGTGTTGATGTTTTGCCCCATTTTTCTAGCATCAAACAACTCATTAAAAAACAAACTCACCAGAAAATGAAGAGTTGGACAAGTGAGATGAGAACTACCTAAAACTACCAGGTATCATTGGCTTCACTATACTAGAGTCTATGGTTTGACTTCATAAGACATTCACTTTACTCTCCCAAAAATAAACCTTTCAATTTTCAAATTGAAATTCCAGTTTCTGATGAGGAGCCTTTTTGAGAGAGTCTGCTCCCATTGCAACTTGTGAGCTCCTCCAGCTGGCAATTTAATAGGGAGGCAATTTAACACAAAAGACCAGAGGGCTGTATTCACAACCACTTCAAGAAAACTCCCAGAAAGATCCTAACTTAGCCTAAAGTAAAATTCCTGCCTCACCAGTCAGTCAATCTGCAGGACAACAGGATGTTACAGTGAAGTTGACCTTTGACCTTTGGAATGTAAAATGCAATCACTTTATAATTTTACCCAAGTAAGCATTTGTTTGAAATTTGACCACTGACAGTGTGTGTGAGGTATGGCTTTTATACTATACCTACCTAAGATAGACTTTATTGTCCTGTAGTATAACAAACACAATCAAGTACTGTTGTCCATCATATATTCATATACATAGTTTAGCCTAGGTGGTGTAAAGGGCTTTGATGGACCGGGGACAAATAATGAAAAGGTTGTGCCTTCTGAAGGGAACCCTGTATCGTCTGCCTGAGGAGGAGCTGGTACTCAGAATGGAGGACGTACATACTTAATTTGAACAGACAGACAGACAACCTGAAAACATAAAGCAGAAATCAAATCTATAACTTGGTGCTGTCACAATAACATTTTTTGTTGGATGATATTTCATCCCAGAAATTATTCAGTTGAATGATATAATTGTCTGATGTAATATTATAGTATAATCACGCAAGTACACACTGTCAAAGAGCGATGAACTTAATTCTTAAGAATATTCATATGAATTGTAAGTGTAAACACCTCGCTCCCAGACCAAGCAGAGAGGAGATGAGAGGCAGAGCAGCTAGATGCAGGCACACCGATGCGACCAAGGAATTATTCATGGCACTTGACAGATTTAAAGGTGAATGTGCATGTCTGTTTTTTTGTATTTATGAATTGCCTAACAAGGCAGATCAAACAATCTTGGAGCCTGGACGTTCCCCACTCCTGGCTTAGAAGAAGAAGCTGTGTTGGTTGGCATGTAAATCTACAGTATGCAAGCAAACAGTGAGGGAAGCCAGTAAAAGAACCACAATAGCCAACTGGGCAGACGACCAGTGTTTACAATTATCTCAATTAGATGACGAGCTTAAAGACATTTTAAGAGGGAAATTCAGCCCCTGTGTTGGAGCACAGGCCAAGAGGCAGGCGTGGGAGAACACAGCACAGCAAACTGACACCTTGCTCCCTCTGGTTGTGTGCACCAGTGAGGAGAGTGAAAAGCAGCTGTTTGGGATGTAGTTCAAAAGAGAGGACATTTTTTCTAAAAAATTACTTTCTCCTCTGTTCGATAAACTTTTGCTTTCCTCCTAACACTTTTTCACCTTGGGATCTCCCTTCAGGGCAGAGATTTCTAGACATTTTATACCAGGATCTGGTTTTAACCGAGAAAATTCAAAAATTTCTGTCATGGGGGGCAGATCTCTGCAGCAGGAGGCTTTATGAATCCTGCTCCTCTAGTTGCTGCGAGTACCGTGCCAGCCTTACCCTCCTCTGTGAGCTGGTTGTCTTTGGTCTCCTGCTCCATCTGCTGGCACCAGCCTTCCATGCGTCCCGTCTCGGCCTGCAGCAGCTTGAGGAACCAGTGGCCATCTCTCCGACACAGCGTCCCCCCTCCGCCGCTTTGGGGTACGCTGCTGTGACTGCCGTTCCCGCTTTCCAACCAGGGGTCCGGGGGTGGTAGAGACGAGGGGTCGAGTGCTGGGTCCAAACTTTCTGAGAAGGAGGAGGAGCTACTTCGTGTGGTAGAGCGTTTGAGGATCTGCCTGGGGGGAGGTGGTGAGGAGATGTCACCAGTGGCGTCCCCATTGTCTAAAGAGTCCTGTCCAGGGGGGAAGGTCATGGATTGGCTGGCACTACTGACCATGATTTTCTTTTCAGTGGGTTTGGTATTATTGATGTGGGAAATAACAATGTCCTGTGTGCCTGAGTCTATTTCTTGTTTTGAGGCCATGCTACTGGAGCGACTGGTCCTGAAACACATAAGGCAAGACTCACTGTTACAAAGCGGCTTTTCAACACAATAATTTGAATCTTTGTCAAACATTTAAGACCAAGTCACTTCTACTGGTCAACAGAGTTAGAAATAAACAGGATGCATCAGAGACTGAGTCTTGTATATATAATATATGATGATGATCTCACGTCACTAAATACCAGTTTCTTGGTTTTAAATTGATACACATTTATCATTATTTCCAGTAGTGCTTGATTAAAGAATATGAACCAATATCAAGAGAGGATAAGACTGGAAAGGGACTGGATAAGGCCAAAATTGAACCTGAGGGATTGTCATGTTGCACATATGTGTAGACAACATCAAGACAATCTATTGTCAGAAATTAACAAATCATATTAAGTTATATACAAAACTCTAAATGCAGCAAGTAAAAGAAAAACTTCCTCATAACTTCCTTGGATTTAAATCATCAAACGTACAGAATGTAAACTTCACTGCAACAGCCAACAAGTAAATACACAAATATACAGTAAGAAGAGAAAAGTCCATAGAGTAAAGGCTTATGACATTACCAACAAAACACAACACACACAGATGGTTTTCAGACAAAAAGATGACATGTGAATACAATGTGATTTCACATCTACAGAGCTCCTGCAAAGAGAATGAATAGTCAGAGCAGTGTGTGTGGCTATAATTTAAATTCCTCACGTTGTTACAAGGACAGGAAGAGGACTTACTGCCACCCGTCCTCCACCTGTACTCCGATTGACTGAAACCTGGCCAGTGGTGGGGTCTCCTCTCGTGGAACTTCCTGGATGCAGTCAACCTTGGGAGAAATAAATAGTGATATGGAGAAAAAAAACGTATAGTCACTAGCTGGTTAAAATTGAGGTATGTGTGATCTCATAGATCCCTAAACAGTGATTTCAATTAAATTGCTTTTGTGAGTAACCTCTAATCTGTTCATCCTTCAGTCCAAGGAAACATTTGTGCTGAATTTAAATACATTTTCATTTAAAGAATTGAGCAGACTAATGGATCAATGGACAACCGAAAAATTTAAAAGACCTTGGCCATGGCTGTTGCTGATGCTGTGGTATAAAAACATGTAAAAACATATATAGTTGTGCTTAGATTTCTAGAAAATGTCAGTTAATGTTTTCCCTGACTGAGTTCTGGTATTGTGGAGGGTTTGGAAACTAAAGAAAGTGACTAAATAACAAAAAATGCATTTTCTGCCTTCAATACTGCAGTTTATAACAGTGTGACCGAGGCACGACTGTGACAGTGTTAGTTTTTCATGTGTAGTGAGAGCTTTGCTTTGACACAACTGCACCAGCCTTGGATAGTACCTCAGTTCCACTGCCTACCTGTATGCCGATGGAGGACAGTTTCCGTCTGGGTACTGGGGCCACTAAGGGCTCCTCTGCCACTAGATTCCCTTTATTTAGTCCTGATTTCAGGGATTCATGCTGGACTACTGAGTCACTCGTCTCTGTGGAAGCATTGGCGGTGGTGGGGGCAATTGGCTCTCTCGGGATGGCAATAGGAGTGGGGATGATGTGCGGTGGGCGGGGAATACTGCGGGCCAGGCTGTTGGCACGGGTGCTATCAAGGCTGTCGGAGGAGTTGCTGTGAGCGTGGCTTGACTGGCTGTTGACCTCTGACCTCCGGTCTTGCTGATCCAGGTAGTTGTCCTGGGCTGACTCCGTGCTGCTCTGCACTGTCACACTGATGTAGGGCTTAGATGTTGTACGGGGTGGCACTGGTGGAGGAGCAACCTTCTTACAGGTGGTTATGCAAGTGGAGACTGATTGAGGAAAGAGATAATGGAGGGGGGGGGGGGGTAGAAATGACAGAGAGACAAAAAGAATTACTATTCACTACGTGTTTAATGTTTACCAAATGTTTACCTTGATTTGGTTGGTTGACACCATGTCGCAGAAGTCATCAGTGTGGCTTAGGCTAATAACTTGACTAATAAGGCTACAAGATTGAGTTCACTCAATGCACAATGGCTGATATAGTTCATCTGGAGATAACGTGTGATTCGATGATTGGTAGAAAAGTGGCTACAATCAACCATGGTTTTCTTTGATTGACTCGAGCTCTACATCATTCTAAGGCAACATCCACACCACAGACTGTATACAAAGATGGATGACATGGCTTCTATCCAAGCATCTCAATAGCCACCTGGTGGCTGGCTGCAGCATAGTTCAAAAGGCCCACCTCCTCCATGTTAACAGATGGATAGTGGATTTGGACTAAACATTTTTTGGGTTATTTTCACACTGATGTATGTTAAAGTGCTCCATCCAGATGTTAAAGTGCTCCGTCCAGATGAGCATTTAAGCTCCCTAACATAAATAATCTCCACCAATACACTTAAAAACACATATAACGTGTACATTGGTCATGCACATAGCATAGTAAACAGGAAGCAGATTGGTTGCTTATTTGCAGAAAATACTATGGATGAGAACCAGAGTCATACTAGGGAGGACAAGGTGGAAAGGCATCTAAAACTAAAAGTTATGCTTTGCAGTCACTGCAGGTTGTAGAGTTGTGACTGGTCCAGCGTAGTATGAACACCAGGAGTGAAAATAGCAAAAGTGATGCATTTTAAACCTAAAATATGTAGACATAGCCGATGAATACATTTTCTTAGCTTGCCCTGAGCTCTTCATACTGGACGTAAACATGCAAGGACATTTTTGCAGGGAAGCTGGGATGCCAGTAAATCAGAGGCATAAAGCAGAAAATCAAATCAGAGGAGCACTGACGTAATCGTTCACACAGGTGACCAATGGAATCCCAGACTGCATTTCAAAGCCTTGATCATGAGACGGGTGATAGAAATCAGTAAATCAAGTTTGCTGAACATCTGACTCTGAAGACCAAATATGGTAGAGAATGTGCCCATCAGATATAAAGGAGCGAGTTGCAGTACATTAAACATGGAGACAAATGAAAGAAAAAGATATAAGAAGAGCTATACGCACAGTATAATAAACACCCTCTATTCTCTTCCATTGTGTTGGTTGCTGTTTAAGTGACTTTGTGTGATATAAAGGAAAGAACATGACACTAATGATAATTTGACAAACCACCAAAAACTCACAGCAACCACAGGGCTGGTGAAGGTAAAAGCCTGACTGACTGCACACTTAGTCGCTTGGTCACATGGTCACATATATACATGGTCAAAAATCTAAAGCTGAGCTTAGAGAGGGAACTTATATGTGGGCTTACATGAAATCCACACAACATGTGTCCAGCATGCAACTTTAGAAAGATGATTTTATTGTGCAAAAAAAAAAAAGATCCAGTCAAACATCCACACTCGTTGCTTTGCCTTCTGCCAGTACAGCCACCCCCCTAACTCATCCATCAACCAAATCCGCCGTGTGTGATGAGGTCCATGGATACTTTCCCATACAGACTGGATGTGTATCAGCGAGAGCAGAAATAAATGGCCTGTCTGTGAAGAGGAATTCACCCAGTGACGTAAACAATGCGATGCAGTTAATGGGCTGCACAGTCGTGCCAAGTCTCTAGTGTGTGTAGTTGAGATATAAGTGACACATTACATTGAATTCATTCACACAAAAAGCACAACACTCTTAATATGCATATAGTTCATATAAAAGATCTCTTGGCTCACTCTGATGAGACCACAGAAATCCCATTCATGCTACACACACAGTCAATGTGATGCTGCATCACTAAAACCTATAATCTAAACAGGGAATTTCACTGTATTATTATGAACCCTGCTGCGTCGATATAATCTCTCGAACAGATGCTTTATTTCACACCGCATTGGAAAAACCGTGGAGAGCTTGTGAAATCCACAAAAGAGTCAGAACAGAGATGGCATAAATAAAAGCACTTGGACAGCAGAACAACTTTTCAAATGTGAACAGCATGGGGTTTCATTCTTTAAGACCTGCTATAAACTAGATTTAAGACTTATGGACTTGCTGTCTGTGATATTTTTTGACTTGGGCAAGATGAAACTGTGGCAGAAAGCATTTTTAGAGACTATACTGAGTCAGTGGATCCCTATCAGATGAATTGAAATAAATACTTTGGTGTGTGACCCAAACCTAAATATGATTTAAAACTTTTGTCTGGATCTACATCTACAATGTAATACATAGAAAGGCCTATTTTACTGTGGTATTGTAAGTCTATTGTTGTCTAGTAAAATGCCCACAAGCCTGCATAGACACAATACATAGCCTAATGATATTACATCAAGGATTTTGAAAAGTCTTGCAGCAAACATGTGAGCAGCTGAGAAAACAGTCAAACAAAAGGCTTGTTGTGCTCTCTAATCCACTTCTTAGCTTAATCTCTGATGAGTGTGGAAACTCACCTAACAACAAACTCATGCAAACTCAATGACCACATGCATACACATCATTCTTTCAGACTGAACCGTGAACTGAGCTGTCAGTCTCTTGTCAGAGACTTCCTCCAACCTGAACTACTGAAACTGGCCTCAAGGTCCACCTGGTCCTTCTCAAACAGTAGCTAAGGGCACTTTCACTTGTCCTGGACCTTCTGAGTTTTCAGTTTATTCCAAACCACAATTACAGATGTGAAAGATGGATTGGACAACGACCTGAACCAAAATTCTGTCCAACCAAAAGAGGTGGTCTGGGAGCATATCAAACTTAACCATGACTCAGAATGTTTGCAGTGTGAAAACACTTTTCTGGAAAGTTTGGACTTTCAGACCAATTTCAAGAACTTGAGACAGCATTGATGAAAAGAAGAAGAAAAAGAAGAATAAGTCTTACTGGTCTGTCCAGAGACAGAGTTTCAGACTCTCAGGTTTGCTTACAGTCCTCCAAAGTAAGTCATTTTTAATGATGTTCATTTAGTGCATTTGAACTAGTGTCAATTATTGCGTCTGAAGTTGGGGATCTTGTTACTAATACCATATTGATATTACAGTGGCAACTTATTTTTTTCCTTCAAACGCAAAGATTACTACCTGCCAAACTGACACACTGATGTCATGTTCCAATCATGTACGTCGTACAAATACATTTTGTCCACTTCCTAAATTTGAGTGTGAAACCAAAACTAACTGGATCAAATACATACAATGTAATCAAGACATGAACATTGGCTCAGACCATGGTCTTGACTTCAGGTGTAAAAATACACATATACATCCCATCTGAACTTTTCCAGGACAGAACCATTTACTCATATGTGTTAAGTGCTCATGTCCCAGCTGTGAAACTTCTCAGCAAACTGCTCTGATGCACTCGCGGTCACATTCCAGTGAAACCAAAACACTGACATGTGACATCATGTGTAAACACCACAGATGACACCCATCTCCACACCTTGTCTGTGTCTTGATATCCCAGCCTCCTTTACCAGTGGATCTACATTCTGAGACTCGCTGATCTCTGGGTAGAGACTGACAGAATGAGATCCCGGAAGCAAGGGTCTGAAATGAGTTTCCTGTAGGGCCCATTAGACCAAACAATACAGGCAACTAGTCATGGATTATCCACCAGCCTCTGACCACTATATCCTGAGGAGAACCTGCCGAGACAGCCTTTCACTGTCCATGTCCCTGTCCCTGTTCATGACAGAGATAGAAGCTGGACAGAATAAGGTCACCACTGTTGTGGCAGCTATGCACTGTCAACACTCCTTTGCCCCAGTGTGCAAGATAACTGTCTCTGTGACTGGGTGTTTGGACACCTGCCCTGCAGTTCTCCAAGTGTCACATTATGCTTTCATCATTCTGAACAGAATTCACCCCCAAGTCTTAATATGACTGAATCTGCTTTATCCATGAAAAAAAAGCCCAAAAATCATGTCTGACATCTGCCTCTGGGATTAGGAGATAAAGTAGTAGAGCTGGACACAATAAGGGCCCATCTCTGCCTCTAATAACTCAATCTGTTGGCAAATAAATGAAGATAAACTGCAGCTAACATATTTTTGTGTTAATCTGGACAGTGCAGTCATGATGTAGTTTCTCCAACAGGAAGTACTGACAGAACCTCTAGGCCTCTGCAGGCACAGGAGTGCATGCCTATTGTTGATCGTCAGTCCACTGCTTTGGCCCAGAACACCATACTGTAGCTGTACTACAACCAAATGGATTGACATGCAGTTTGGATCAGATCCTCCTCAGGATATTTTGGGAGATCAAGTCTTTCCCTATACCTTCATCATTACTTTGGTTTATGGTTAATACTGCGTTTGATTCACATGAGTTTGGATTAGGATAAATGATGGATGAAAAGTGGTTGTGATGAATGCTAACATGCTAAACTAAGAGGGGTAAACATCCGCATGTTAGCACTGATACCGTTGTTTTAACCATTCACGTCATTGTGTCTGCAGCACAGACGGTAAAGGATGCATTGTCAATAGTTAAGTCTCATAGAGTGGCTAGCATAGATGTATACAACCAACCATGTTTATTTCTAAAATATTCTGCAAGTGTCTTTCTTGATCAGAAATCAACACATGTAAGGGATCCTTAACAGGAATGTTTGCATACTTGTGTTAATGTTCAAAAATGTATATAGCCGGATATATTATTATGAAGTGTTTGCTCATGTTACATGACACAGGGATTCAGTAATTCTGCCATAGAGAGCAGTGAAAAAGACAACCACATAACTGATCAGACAGGTTTTTGACAAGTCTGGAGTTCATCCACTGTTCACATTGTTCTGTGGCCCCTGGTATCGTTACATCACAGATCACAGCAGTGAAACCTGTAAATAACTGGTGACATAACAATGACCAAAACTACAAATGTATGACTGTAAAAGACAATTTGAAGGTGTAGCACATAGATAACATTATTATGAAGTTTAAAGTAGCAGCTTTGTAAAATGCTGGAAAGTGCAGCCATGACAGAAACTTCCCACAGATGGATCGCAAGGGGCACAGGCTCTTAATCAGACAGTTTGGTGCATTTGCTTACTTTACAGGACTCCGCCACACAAACATACGCAGCTGTGCCAGCATAAAACACATCCTTTAAATGTGAACTACTACTGACAAACACTGACAAGGCCTTTTGTAAACTTGACATACCTCTGCAACTATAAAATGGACATGAAGCCAAGTACAGTTTCTGCTTAATTAAGCTGAATCTGTGAGGAGCTGTTCAGTAGAACATATTGGTTGCTCCACAGAAGGAACAGTAACAACCACATGCTTTGTGCCAGAATGTTAAAGTGGAATCTGGAGTGGGCACTGAGCGCTGCTGTTTTCGTGCCATCTGGACAGTGGTGTTGTTGTCCACTGCCAGCAACAGTTCAAGATGTGATTTTCAAGGAAGGAAAACAATTAGCCGCGAGAGGCTACATCTGCTGAAAACCGTTTCCAACAGCCCAGCAACCGCGCTCCACTCAGCAGCGTAAAATGTGGAAATTTTCACCACTTATGAAATCGTTCCAAATCACCATCTCAGGAATGAAATGCAGTAACAGATCAGATCTAGGCTACATACTCAACCAGTTAAAGGGCAAAAATTAAAATAGGAAACTCGAATGTGCTAGAACCCACACAGCAGTCTCCATCTATTATCCATACAGCTTATCCTTTGAGGATTTCAGTGGGGCTGGAGCCAATCCCAGTCGGCAGCCGAGAGGCAAGATACACCCGGACAAGTCGCTGGAGCATCACAGGGCCGACAAATAGGGACAAACCACCAACTGTCCTGCAGCTAATGAGGACAGAGTACCCGAAGACAACCCCCACACACACCAGAAGAACATGCAAACACCCCAACAGGACGTTGTCAGGTTTGAACCCAGAACCATCTGGCTGTGTGACACCACTGTGCCACCCACAGCAGTTTGCGCTCCCTGTTTTACTGTTTGCCAGAAGGAGACTATGGTGACATGATTAACTAACCACAGATCCTGCAATGACATCACTGCTGGTAGTGCATGTCACTTCCAAAGACCCAGGATTCATAAAAAAACAAACAACATCTTGCTTATATATTATGGAATTTCCATGTAAGGAAATACTGCTATTCTGACAGAATAGAAATGAAGCCAACAAAGACATCAAGATGTCTTTTATTTTTTACCCAAAGTCGGAAAATCTAAATTGATCTAAAAGACACAGAGAGCAGATTTTAATGTAATTTACATGCATGTATAATAAGATCCTTGAACCAATATCATACTAATAATTCAGTTCCAGTTAGAAATGGGTACATAACAAATGAATCATATCTACTCTAGGTTCAGCTTTAGTCTGCATCCCAACTTGCTTATTCAAGCCACTGTGGAGGAACAAACTGAGGATAAGCAGGAAAGTCATGTGAAAAACTGCTTAAATTGGAACAAAAAGTCTGCAAAAAATGTGCTTCATGACTTGCTGGAATGTTGAAATCACATATGTAGAGATATAGCAGACTAAAGTAAAAATTAGAAACTTGATTCATGGTAAAAATACATGTATTGCATTTTAGTTTTAGTACATTAGTTTTTGCACAATTATTTTCATACAGTATTGGCTTGCTGCTGTATACATAGAGTGAGAGTATGAAAATGTATTTCTTCGCAGTAACTCTGATTAGAAGTCAGGTAAAACAATTATTTAATATAAAAACAAAACAACTCACATGTTTAAACGCTCTGAGCAATAAAACACATCTGTTTTTGAAGCATCCCCGTGGTTTTCCCACACTTAAAGTGAACATACCAGTCTGAACAACAGCTTGCCAAGTAAGGTAATTAGATCATTAGAATTGCTCATGAATGTAGGATGAGTGCACTGGCTGGTGTGTGTCTGTGTCATCAAACAGTCCCATCAACTGTAAGACAGATCAAACAATGGAGCTGATAGTCTTCACCCAAGTTTTCAAGTGTTATTAAGCCGGATGATCTATTTGACAAGTATTATAAAGTATAATCACATTTAATCAAGTGGTGCTGTGCTGCGCCGTCTGTTGAAACTGGACAACAAGAAACAATGGGAGACAAAAGGTGGATTGTGATGCTCTATTTAACAGTTGTGTGCAGCTTGCAAATTTGTCAGTTGACCCATCTGTATTGTTTAATCCAAGAACTGCTGCAAGACAAAGACAAACTTGCCTGAAATCATCACCACTCCCTTGTCACCAAAACCAGTATCACAATGAATTATTACACTCGATGTGTTCAACAACAACACTGCTTTATGACTGAATAGCCTTCTTCTTATTTAATAATGTGACCTGATAATGGGATTTGCAGTCGTCCATGTGGGACAAAAGCGGGGCTGCCCTCAAATAATCCAGCGTGGAGGCCAATTTTCCATTTCAGCAACCGAAGAGAAGCAGCTTTACGAAGACGTGCAAATACATTATAAGCTGAAGGCAGTTAAATGGTTCCACAGACATAGATTTAATATATTCTCATACTGTTAAACAGCAAATCTCTTCTTTTATCCTGACTCCCACCACAAATGAGTGGCTGAAGCATTGTGGGAAGAAAAGTTTTCTAAAAGCTTAGCAGATGTTGGAGAGTACTCAATGGTTCTGAGTTCGTCACTGAAAGCATGATTTTAAAATATTTAAATTATGGCCTAAAATACGGCCGAGCAATTAAACAATCCATAATTAACACAATATATTTTTAATCGGAAGGTTCAACAACATCAACATATTGCTTATGCATTGTGCAGCACAGTCAGGAGGTATACCACATAATTGTAACTGTTTATCAAGAGGTAAAACCACAAACTTCACTCAGGAGCAAAAATCTGACTTTAAACTTAAATAATATTTATCCTGATAATCATCAACATCGACTGATATCAACATCTTTATCTTGATAGAATTTCTGCCCATATCATCCAGCTCTGACAGCAAATGTGAAAAAAGCAATTTAACATCATCTCAGCAGAAGACACCACAACAACTCATCCTAAACACACTGTTAGTCTCAGCAGCTGCATACCAGCTTTTATTCACCACGTATTTCCTACCTTGAACAGGTTAGATATCCTCCACATAGAGATACAGCAGAGCAACACACTTATCTCTGAGAGTCAACACAGCTTCAATGAGTAAAGCACTGAGTGACAGGCTGAACCAGCAGCTACATGTTTGAAGATATTGCTGAAGTCATCAAATCCTGCTCCACTAACATTAGGTAGTGTTCTGTAAAGAAGCAGGCAACAGACTCACCCTGCTGTCAGCTGCAGACAGAGAGGTTGACCAGTGTCCACATGTTCTCACACTGTCTCACTGACTCTCTGTCTTTTTGAGGACTGTTTCTGAGCCTGAGGGGGGGCGTGGAGCCATGTCTGCTGCTGCCTTCACGGAGCCTCGGACGAAACAACTCCAGAGAGAAATGGCTGCAAATGTGGTTTTTGGTGCTCTTAAAGGGATAGTTCACCCAAAAATGAAGATTCACTCGTTATCTTCTCACCACTTTGCAGATGGAGTGGTGGGTGAAGTGTTTGAGTCCAATACAATTGAAGTTAAAGGTTTGCATCTAAATGTTGGCTGTTATCCTCCTCCGGAACCACGCATGTATGTGAAAAACCTTGTAAATGATTTTGTTTCAAGTCGAATTTGAATCTCAGGGCTTGTGGACACTTGGATGACACCACAGGAGCAGTATAGAGATATATTATGTTTTTTTAAAAAACATTTTAAGACATGGTCACCAGTTACTTCAATTGTATTGGATTTGGCTGCAATGCTGTGGACTCAAGCACTTCACCCACCCCTCCATCGGCATAGTGGTGAGTAGATAATGACTGAATTTTCATTTTTCTGTGAACTACCTCTTTAAGCTGCTTACAGTGGATAGTTGCTTTTTTGATGTAGAAACAATATAGCAATTTTGAATATTTGACTATTTGCACGGCTCCAGAAAAGCTACCCATACACATGTTTGCCTCTGGTTTTAGTTTATGTTTTAATCACTTATGTTTGTTGTTGTTGACAATTTGCACAGCCTTTTATTTCCACAATTTCTTAGTGTCTGGAGCTACTGAATAATATATAAAAATACTACTCTCTTGAAGGCAGCACAGAGTATTTTGAAGAGTGGTGACAAGCGCCACCATGTGGATGCTCAGTGATAGTTACCAGCACATGCATACATCCAGGCTCTATTTCTGAAATGGAGAGCAGTCAGATGTCAACAAACAAAGCTTCTAATGTGTCTCTTCTCATACATCCACAGTTCCTCTGGTGAAGCAAACTCAACAAGGTGGAGAGGAAATTGCACAGTGAATGTTTGAGCTGTTATCGCTCGCTGTTATAATATGAAACATAATACATTTATTTAAGGTTTTACGATACTGCCAACCCTCCCAAACATTCCCTCACCACAGAATGTTAACCAAAGCTTTATTTGGAGAAGCAGCGTTATGCACATGTATAGTTTTTGTCTCATGAAAAGCCATCATCCAACTACTGTACCCCTCGTGTGCATCACTGGCCAATAGATTTTTGGTGAAGTGAATGATTTTGCAGTCCATTAAGTGGCAAATTGATAAACATCTTTTAGTCTTAGTAGAGAGTAGCTGGTTTTCAAATTGTTACCTGTGTGTGAGGGTCGGATGCGTGGTCTGTCTTTCCCAAAACGCTGCAGAAAAAGTGCAAGTTGTTTCTCCTTTGGGGCTTTGTCCAAGCCCGTTGCTATCAGGTAAGAGCCAAACTGTTCTTTCCACGTCTTCCATTGGGTGGAAAGGTCGTCTAGCGTGGGCAAAAGAGGCTGCGTTTGAGCTAAAAATGCTGGTGTGTGCATTTTGGAGGACTACTGTCCCACCCAGGACCAAGACTATGAAGCTCATTCAAAGTCAAATCAAAGTTATGAAAAAAAATAAATAAATACAAATTTGGCCCATGTGTTTGAGTCAGTCTGAAAAAGGGTCAAAACCTCGCAAAAATAATCAAGATTTAATAATTAAATAAAAAACCAAAGCAGATTTGTTTTACAGTATATTGCATCTATTATAAAATACATTCAGAGGATCTCAGCTGGGCAACACATAACAATGCATCATGTTAGAACTCTTATATTGTCCCCATTTATTTGGTTTCTGAGATCATATGTATGTACAATTCAGCCAGTGACTCACCGGTGCTGGAGCTGTAGGTGCGGACAGTGGTGTCAGTCGGAGGGTGTGAGCAGCTCGAGTCTATGGACGCTGTGTCATCATCTTGGGAACAGCCAGCCTGGATGGCTCTCAGGTAGCTGTGGCTGCGAGATCGGAAGCATGTCGGCATGGGCAGGTCTGGAGGCTCTGGGTTGTCCTGAGAATGGGAGCGGGAATCTCTGTACGTGGAGTCGGAGCTGCGGTCCTCATAATGACGACCCATGTCCAGGTCCCGTAGCTGGAGAGACGACAGGATAAGATTGGAAAAGACATGAGCTGCTTTCAGACATGCACTGAACTCCAGATATTTTCCTGAGGGGGCTGTATGCGAGCTGCTCCAAACAATAGCCAGAGTTCCCCTGCCTGCCCTCTGGTAGAAACTATGGCTAATGTCCGAATGATCTAATGTGAGAACACAGCAAGAGATTTTCTGGAGGATTCCAGGTGAGTGAGTGGGCACGTAGACAACGTTTCTAACACGAGGCAAAATGGAAAAAAAACCAACACATCCCAATTGAAGTTACATTCTGCCTCCTGCATGATCTGATCAGACCCTGCCCCTCGCCTGAATGCTCAGGAGATGTTCCTGTTGTTGTGAACATGTCTGACCTGGACAATCTCCTGCTGCATTCCTCATGTGAAAGGAAAAGTCTGGAGAAAATATGGACCGATTGTCCTGACATTCCCCTGTGGTTATGTCTGAAAACGGTGACAGTGGTGTGTGTAGAAACAAGTGTGTGAGTGGTTCATTTTGACCACAGCAACTGGAGGTGACCAGCAGCTCCTCAGCTGTCTGTAAAGAACACGCTCCACTTGGGAGACAGATTTGATGGGATCCAATAAAAAAGGTGAAAAACTACAATAGTATTGGAAAGCACAGAATTGTACCAGTGTTGCTCTTATCGTTTCCCTCAAGCTGGGTCTGAGATGGATGAGATGTCATTTCACGCTTAAAATGCATTTTCCTCTTTTGTTTGACATTTCTTACATGGCCTAGTCTCTAAGACCTGTCAACTTAGAGAACATGAAAGAAATATCAAGGCAGCAGAGATCACTTTGAAAAGTTTGAGTATGTTTTACACAGCAACTCCAGGCTCCGAAAGAGTGAGTCATTTCTGAGGCTTCTTTTGTAGAGCAGCTTCGCAGATGAAGGGTTTCATATTCTGCTGGTCGACAGAAGCAGCCTGAGAAAGACTCTGAAAATGTGTGTAGCAAAAGTATTTTGTCGGTTCACTGACTGGTAATAAAAAGATCTAAGGGTGTAAGTGTGAGAGCAGCAAGAGAAGACGTGAAGTTACAGCATCACACATTTTGAAGTTGTTTCGAATGATTGTCACTTTTCTCTCTTTAAATTCATTTAGTTTTAAAAACACAAGATGACCTCAACCAGTTTGAGTGATAATGAATATTAAATGTGCTTGGGATGCCGCTGTGCATGCAAATTACAGCAATAAATTAGAGCACATTCGTCATAATGCAGAAACGTGTCAGAGATCGTGTGCAAATCCTTCTCTAATAGCTCGCACTGCCTCATTTGACTGGTTCAATGAAAAAGATCTGCTCCGCACAGCTGTTCGTCATCCCAGTGACCTTGTCAGCGGGAGGCTAATAGCTCTTATGTAAGTCCATGAATTAAGCCTAAAACTACCAATGTCAGTCATTTGGCTTGCAGGTTTATAGCGTTAAAATGAGATACGGTGGGAGCACAGGGTGTCTTTGTCATTTTAAAGCTGCTGTTATGACTGTCAATCAGGCTGTGTCTGTGAAAATGCTGATTTTACGATGGAAACGAGTGCAGCTCGCGGCAGACAAAGGGGCTCATTGAAAACCACTGGTGATTTGAAAGAAGTACATTTGCCAGGAGCTAAGTGATGTAAATTATGAGCAAGCACAGATTTACTCATAACTCATTAGAAAGAAAATATATATGCAAAGCTAATGAGAGAAAAGGAAACAGACAGAACGAGGAATTCATTATTTGGCGTCTTCCGGATGGCACACACAGCATAATGCGATCTGTGTTTGTCCTCTCCAGACCAGCACTGACCTGTCCCATGCAGCTGCGCCGGCCCAAGGTGCTGCAGGCCTGGCTAAAGTCATCATCGTCCCAGCGTGGCAGAGACAAGCCTGTACCCTCGATGCAGTCGAGGTTGTCAAGGCTGCGGTTATTGGAGAGCTCTCGGAGAGATGGAAGACAGCTGGATAGAGTGAGAGGAGAGGAGAAACAAGAGAAATGAGATAGAGGAGTGTGTTGAAGATATGAAACAATGTCAGGAAAACAGACGGTATGTGAGGACATGCAGGGAAACATGAAAGATCAGCAAAATCAGGAATTGAAAGAGAGATAGGAGCATAGGGTTGTCATTCAACTCATCCCTTTCATTTCCGTCCTCATTTGGGCACGTTAATGTGCCCAAATATAATCGGAATGACTAATTATAGCATCTGATCTGCATGCAAAACCAGACACGTGCACAGCTCGCAGTGTTATCATGGTGCCAAAGCCAAAGAAAAGGTGCAGGTTTCATTTAAGTGCCTGTAAAGTCATGTTTTGCATATTCTTTGTTGGCACACAGTGATTGTTAGATGTCAGCAGACCTCCGGCCATGTTCTATGCAAAAAGATGTCACTTCAGTCCCTCATCTAAATAATGTCAGACTCACTTAGCACCTGAAAGCACTGGGAAGATATTTAAAAGCTTGATGGTAACTGTCAGTTGTTGGTAACAGGGCATGAATTTGGCAGCTGGAGTTGCTACATACATGTGAGGGGGGCAGTGCAAAGCCAGCAGTGATAGATCATCCAAATCAGACAGAAGTGTTTTGCACCACGCCCCTGAGATGTGACTTACAGACCTATCTACCACTGACCTGCTCATTGACCTGCCCAGCTGGTGCAGAGAGGACACACTGTGGAGCGGAGACCACAGGGCGTCCAGCTCCCCCTGCAACAAGGCATAATCCAGGGTTCTGCTGCTCACGCCAATCAGGGGGCAGCAGACCAGGAAGTGGGGTTGGATGGTCAGGGATTGGCAGCGGGAGGAGGATTGATCAATCACGCATGCGTCAGGTAAGAATTAATTCTTAAATGTCTAAACACATTTAAACACCACCTAAATCTTTACCCTGCATGCCAGCTTAGCCAGAATCAGTGCATTATTTTCATTTGTTGATGTGTGTATGTGAACAAAATAACTTGAATTGATGGATTTTCACAAAACTTGGTGTGAATAGTACTTGGGAGGAGGAGGAGGAGGAGGAGGAGGAGGAGGGGGGGGGGGGGGGGGGGACTACTGACTGTAGTCAAAAGTCATGGTCAAGGTCAACAAGATAATACAAAGCTTACCAGTATGTTAATCAGAAACGTTATAGCCATCATATCATCCTTTTTATTTGTATGGACCATACATATCACATATGATGTCATATAAGTGATGCCATGAAGAAGTCTCAAAGAAGTCAGTAAATGATGTCATGTGACGTTCACAAATGTTTTTTTTCGTCCTGTAGGACTATAGACATGACCTAAATAAAATAAAAAAGAATTCATGATCATAAGGTTAGAATGACATCATAGTCATAAAGTGTCTGAATGTATTAAGCTCACAACTAATAATAATAAAGACACTATCAGCATTTTATTTAATTAACCAATGATTTGTCAACATAATGTAAAAATTACATCATGATGACATCATTATGATATGGCATTATATTTTGTAGTATAAAAAAGTTAGCATTGCATTGTTTATGTACAACACATGAGCAGTGCATGAAACCATCCATGTATATACGTATGTGGAGGGGAGGTGTGTTTTGGTTAAATTGAGTCTGAATATTGTGTGGAATGGACATTTCAACACTTCCTATGATTACTTATGTTGACTGTTACTGTATCAAGCAGGGGACATAGTCTGTAGAAGCACAAAACTATGTGGCACGAGCCCAAAATACCTTAATCATAAACATTTCTGAAGCCGTGCTGATTTCAGATAGAAATTTAGAAACATGTTTATCTCAGACAGCAGACGTGAACGCAGTCTGCTCTGTGTGGGAACGGCAGTAAGAAGGTAAATCATCTCTGAGGTAAGTGACATGTGGAGGACAACAGGAGTCTGACACCACTTAATTCCATACATGAGTAAGCACAGCTGGGATTATGTGCCCATGTTGAATGCATTTGTATTTTCCTGCATTCTGGTGTAGTGAGGCTGTGTTAGGTGGTTTCCTTCTTGTTCACCACCAGAAAAAGAAGTGGTTTGATTATTGTATTTTAAATTTGTATAGGTTATAGCAATCAGTAGTTATAACATTGAAAATAGTTTAAGTTAAGGACTCGATCATTAGCTTTTCATTCATGTATATTTACAAACAGAATATGACTACAGCATTAACTTATGCATTAAAAAAATGTGAAATATAATTAGTGTCTCCCTTAATGTTGAGTGTTAATATGTTCTGCATAATAAAGCACAGCTCTGTGTCGGTCTGTTCTCTTACTTGCGTGGGGGCAGCTGGTCGCTCAGAGACTGCTGCGTAGCCCTGAGGTAGCTCTGGCGGCGAGCAGCAGATTTCGGAGAGGGTTTCGGGCTTCCCTCCGAGTCATCGCTGTCTTCCATGTCTCCCATGGCCTTTACGTAGCTACCGCTGCGCATACGCCGACATGGGATTTCATTGGCACCCCCGCTGTGGCCTAATGTGCTCCATTCACCCTATAGGCAGCAATAAGAGGCTAAAATTAGTCTTTATCTATTTTAACTCTGTATCACTGCACTGTAGTATACTTTGAAATTCACATTAACAAACACATTGGAATAGTTTGCAAATATAAATAAAATGTATACAATGCAACTTTTATCAAGCACTACGTTCACTCACCCTTCGTCCAACCTGTAGGTAGTTGCAGGTTAGTTCTTGTTGGCAGGACTTGGACTTGAGCATGGACCTGTCCAGAGTAGCTGAGCCCTTCTGGATCACCGGTCTCGGTTGGCCCATGGTCAACGTGGACCAGGACCCTCCTTTCATATAGTCATTGTCATTTATCACCATAGCACCTGTTCTACCTAGTCCTCCACCTCCTCCACCCCCAGGCCCAGGAAGTCCCTGATACTTCATGTCATTGCTGCTTTTGGAAGAGCTAATGGTGTTGTAGCCGCTGTGGATGTACCTGCTCTGGCTCTCGTGGCCACTTGGACGCCCTAGAGTCATCATGGCCATGGTGTTGTGGTAGCTGCTCAGATCACTGCTGTCCAAATCATCTGAGCTCCAGTAACCTGACATGTTAGAGCGTGGCCGTCTCTTGGCACTTGCCTCTGATTTTGTACCCCGATCTTTACTTTTGGATCTGCGATTCTGTTTCCCTCCGTCCTCAGTGCTTGACGAGCCTCCACCGCTGCCGGTGGAGCGTCCATTTACATTCCCCTTCATGTTGTGGCTTTCCAGTGACTGGGACTTGGCAAAGAGTTTCTGCACTGAGTGCAGCATGTAACGAATGCGACCAGGACTGTCTGTTCGCTGCTTTGCAGCAGCAACAGCAGACGTCCTATGAAACTGCAATGTGCTGAATCCATCCCGCCCTGCAGATAGCTGCTTGTCAAACTCCAGCAGACTTTGGGGTGCCTGGCTCTTGGTCATATGATGTGATATAGTTGCTGAGCCGCTCGTTATCATAGGTGTTCGTCCACTCAACCCTGCCATGCCCATGCTTGTTCCCATGCCCATGGACATGGATGGCCCCATGGTCCCTGTACTTATCCCCCCAATACTGTCCCCAGGTGGGGAGAAGTCCGACTGGTCGTAGGAGTTGTAATGAATCCTGGGGAAGGTACTGCTGTTTGACAGCTGGTTGTTAAGGGGCAGCATGCAGTCTGGTGGAAAAGAGTCTGGGTTGGCTGAAGGGTAGAGGTGGGGGTCCATGGTGCCATAGTGGTCCATTGAAGGGCTCAGCAGGTAAGGGCTGCGTGGCAGGGTGCTCGTCTTGTGAGGGTAGAGGGCCTCTGGGTGGCCTGAAGAGGGATCACAGGATTCAGACAAGTGTCTGTTACGGTTGGTCCCCAACCCTTTCATGGTGGTCTTCTCTAGAAGACCTCCAGGCCAAGAAGAGTTGACTGATGACCTTGAGCGTTACTCCTAGAAAACAGAGACAAAAACAGGACAGGAAAATCCAGCATGAAAAAGAGAGAAGAGGCTTTGAATTGGCTAAAGTAGACACTCAATAGCGCCTCTCAGCTCAGCCACAAAATCACGCCCACTGATGTGCCAGACCAGACAACAAACCGGAGAGCTGTGGGATTGTGAGGGAAACACTGTGGACAGTGAATGAGACAGATTTCCACTGCCTCCCACAGCAAACATCTGTTACACTGCTGCAAATGAATAGAAAAACAACATGTGGATAAAGACAAGCTGCAGCTAATGTGAGAGGGCATATATCATGCGTAAAAGAACAATTGCTCGCAATCATCTGTAACTGCAGACACCTAGCAATGTGGAGCTTCACAGCAGCCAGTCAACAAGTATCTCATCTTTTTTAAATTATATTCAGAAAAAGGACATTAGAAGAAGAAGAATTAATCACTGTCCAAACATTTTCATTCATGTGCCAAAAAATACACTTGTAGCATTTTATATTGAATTATGTGCCAGCAAAATAATCCAAACAACATACCCGCTGCCTCCCTGCATATTCTACAGGTTAGCTGTCATACAAAACAGTGACATTTTTGGGAGATCCCTTTCTTTCAGCCTGTCGCACTCTGTCTCTGCCCAATAATCCATCTGTTTCTGTTTCTCTCCTCCTGCTCCTCTGTTCCTTCTCTCTCCTGTCCCCATCTCCGGTGGGGATCCGCTGGCACTGGTCACTGAGCTCCGGTCCTATCTTTGCATGGCGAGCCAAGAATGCCACGCAGACTGTCACAGTGAAACCAGTGAAAAGGATTTGACCAGCAGGTAGTGGGCGGCGGGAGTTGGCAGCTACAGTTTTCCTTGTCCTCTGTAGTAAAGCTGTGCTAATGCCCCGGCAGGCAGGATCGAGAGGATGGATGACAATTGGAGGGGAATATTATGTAAAGGTAAAGCAAAGATGGATACAGGCTTTTATGGTATTTATTCATTGAAAAACGAATTTGTATGTAAAAGACACCAGGGAGCCGCCATTTAAACAGACAGAAACAAAACTCCACAAATTAATCTTTCCTTTCCCGCAGCAGCTTGTGGATTATAACCACGAAGAATTTAGGGGATTTTTATGATCATATTCGTTTTTTAAATGTTCTTTGAATCAAGTCATTTGCTATTAGTTTTGGCAGCTGTTGGAGGCTAGAAGAACCCTGGCAGCTCTCTGACATTATCAATTTTAGTAACTCAAATATCTGAAACAGTTCCTTACATATTAAATATAGTTAAAACACTTTCCAATATCCTCTCTATGGTTGTTTAATACAATGCACAACATTAGATTCTGATTGGAATGAAAATATATCATATATTGTTGAGCCAAGATCTGCAGATTTTCATGAAATAAACTGAAGCTGTTTTGGAGATATTTTTGGGCACTGTGGCAGGACAGCATTGAGGTGTGATTCACACCTGTGAAAGAGGGAGCGAGAACAGGGAAAGACGTGCAGCAAAGTTGTGGGTCTGAACTCACGCCTCTGTATGTGGGGCACCCACTCATCCCTAAATACGTTTAATCTGAATTTATCCAGAGGAAGTTTGATGAGTGGGACAACTACTTAATTAAAATTCATATACATGTATTGGAAGCTGCTTCAGACAACCACAAACCAAATCTGCGGCCATATCGCTTGTTGCAAATATGCCAGAAAACATCAGCTATGCAATGACAAAAGCTGCAACAAGGGGACAGTACTACCCACCACTTTAGACCACTATCCCATTCTTTAATATTAACAATCAAAGAGGAAACTGGCAGCAGTCCAAAAAATGTCTTAGTCTTGTCCTGTCTCAAGGAAACTTCTTCTTTGCAGTGCAGCAAAGGGCAATCTTAGTTTATTAAACAATATATATATCATCATTTCTTTGTTAAAACTCTGAAGGGAGGATGTTTTCTGTAAAATATACATATCTTCTCCTCTTCATAGAGCTAAAACCAGGAGAAAAGGGGAGAATTATTACAGTGCACTGCTCGACAGGAACGTGGGAGTTGCAGCTCGATTTTTAAGACTCCACTTTATTTGCAGGCTGGTTCGACCTGATTGTGATTCGCTGTTTCAGAGGAGGAAGTGAAGTGTATTGTGTTACCTTGCCTTTACATAATGTCTGCACACATGCCCATTACTTTTACACACTTCTAGCAATTAGCTGAAAAAAAAATCTCCATATAAATTATAAGCCTGACTTTCATGTCGCCATCATCAGCATGCTGCAGGCACAGACTCATTTAGTGTCATTAACAGAGCCTCTCTGAGTGCCATCTCCGCTGATAGGGTCAAATCCTCTAAATCCTTTTACACCACATTAGCTAACTGCCTCATATCCCGCCGTGACACGCCACTCAGCTGAGCTTAGCATACCCTCCTCAATGTGTCAGCCATCGCGGCTCCAAATGACAGTGATAGAGGTATTATAAATAGAGACGGGATCATAAACTTTGACGCTGAAAGTCATACATGGAAAACATTTTACCACATTCAGATTCTCCCATTTGTGCATTTTAAGTTAATGATCTGTGGATTATTATACTTTAAAATGAGAAAATACAAGTAATATATAACTAGAAGAAATATTATTTTTCTTTATAGAATAAGACCTACATATGGCCAATGGTCAAAATAATCCAAATAAGTGATTTGAAGCAAAAAAAACATTTAAACATTTAATTTAAAATACATTATTGTCTTTTTGAGAAACTAACTGTAGGACAACAAAATATTAGAATATAAAGTTGTAAGTTGTTCATAATTTTTTATGACATGAGCTTGTTCTGTTCATTGGTTTATTGATCCCTCTGTAAAATAATGTAAATATTTCTAAATTCAATGTGTCCACTGGACAAAAATAGAGCAGCTCCTTTTGGAAAATGTTTATATTCAGTCTTTGTTGAACAACATGGCGACTTGAACACATCCGGATGAATCAAAATGCCTGGAAGTCACTGCAGGTTAATATGGTTTATGTTACACAGGGGCAGTGTGAAAATCAGTCCTACAGCTGCTAATGTTCATGAGTCATGTATAATCACTGGTTCCAGCAGCTACAGTAGCAATCCTCATACAGTAGCACTACATTGTAATGTTAATAGAGGTCAAGAGGCATCTCGACCCTCAGGGAGAAGAGAGCGAAAAGGATGCAGGTCAAACTTCTGTCTTCATTACAGCAGAAAAGTGTGTGTGTGTGTGTGTGTGTGTACCACTCGCGGATAATAAACATTTTGAAATCATAAATGTGTTTGTTTGTGTGTTTTTACGCCCTGCTTGGATCGTCTGGTGGCTGCATCTCCCTGCCTCGTGCACCGGGGGGAGCTGCCATCTGCTCCTTCAGTGGGGATAGGGGCGTTTGGATCCGTGTCCAACTCATGACCTTATACTCATTCTGTCAGCAACCACAACCTGAGAGCCACAGGCAGTTCATGCTACTGACCAGAAGAGGGCGATCACGGTCAATACAAGTTGGAGTGCCTATCTGCCAAGTTCCATCATTATTAAATGTTTTCATGCAGAAAGTAGGGAGGTTGTGGGAATACTGGGAATACATGTCAGAAACAACAGAATCATTAATCAGTCATAGATCATGAAAGAGCATTGGAGGCGTGATGAAGAGGAATGTGTGGATGTCAAGTAATGCTTCGATAATGACCAAAAGTAAAAAGGTTATATCTGAAACTATTTGTCTCGATAGCACTCATTATCTTTTCTAATGATATTCATAAATCAGGGAGTGATGGTATTCAGATCCTTTATTTGGGGTTAGTAAAATGTAAAGTATATGTAAAATATATTGTAAATACAAGAAACATTTAAAACTTTTATCAAAACAATCACTTCAAATATATTTAAAGTAAAAGTTGTTAATTAAAAATTGTTCTGCAGAAAAATGGTCCATCTAAGTGAAATATAATTTACATATTATAAGATTGTTAATACTGATGAATCACTGTAGAAGCAGATTCTACCATTGTGGCAGGTTATGGCGGAGCTAGTATTAACTACTTAGTATGGACTATAGTTTTAGTCCAGTGGTTCTCAGTTGGGCCTCTTCCTACAAAGAAGTCTGACCATGAGATGAATAATGGCATAGAGATGAAAAAACTGTTTTTCTTTTGCACAAATTTTCATAGTTTACTTTTCACTTTTGGATGATGATCCTAGATTCTTTATGTAATAGGGGAAAAGTTGACTGGCTTGTGGCATGAACAAAATGAAACCATTGAAGAAGTTTGGAGGGTGAATGTCACAATGTTTTGGGATGAAAATGCTTGGATGGAATCGAAGTTGTTAAATTGCAGCTCAAAATAAAAGTTTAAAATACTGATTGATTTTAAAAAGCTAAACCAGTTGAACCATAACAAGAATCCTCATGTCAACCCTGAGCATTTCCTCTATTTCCCTTCAGTAAACTCCCATCTGTCAATTTGACAAGCAGTAAAAACAGATTTCATCCGTTCCATTGATACCATTCACATATTTCCTGGCGTGAAATTTCTCCAAATTGAAACTGAAAGTGAAAATTTCTTCTTTCCAACCTAAGCCACATTCGGAATAGTATAACTGATTGAAATGTCTCTGGATGATCGATGTCAGAACTTATGAGGGGCCAGATTTTTCAACTAGCGTCCAGTTTGTAGATTGACAAGTCCTTGGGCGGACAGATTTAGATTAGAGGCTGTGTAAAGGACATCATCCCCTCATCTGAGCAACACAGGCGGTTTGTCAGAGCACAGCTCAGTCATTCAGCCCTGAGCCCATCTGCTCCATATAGGCTTACAGCGATGCCGGGGAAGACAGGGGGCAGTTCTGTGTGTGTGTGCGTGTGTGTGTCTGCTGCACCCACAGGCGGTGTGTGTTACATGTAACAAGACAGACGAGCGCTCGCAGGCTGCTGGTGATGAGGAAGGGACAGGAGGAGGTGAGGGAAAGCTGTGGGGAAAAGGTGTGGCTGTGGCAGGGAAA